CAGCATCTGCAGTTCCTACTATCTCTGAAGCAGGGTCAGTTCTGTAGAATGGTCGCTGGACCCAAAAATGGTAACTCTGCTTTCTCTCCACAGATGCTGTCAGACCTGCTGAGATTTTGAAGCAATTTCTGTTTTTGTTTCAGATTTCCAGCATCCGCAGTTATTTCGATATTTTGTACCTTAGCATGGTCAACGGGTCAAATGCAGAGAAGGCGGTAGAAATTAAATATAAAATCGGGGGGAATAAAAAGAAGGATGATTTTTCACTTTAAGGACAAAAATCTCTGTACTGTTGGTCACTAATTGGCCCACAACTTGGCAGATCATCAAAATCACACTCACTGACCAACAGTTTAAATGTGCATCCTCCATGCAGTTTATGGCAACTGCAGTGACTCAGGCTGCACAAGTTAACTTATTAAAACCACAGGTGACAAAAAAAAACCCAGTCACATTTCCTGCAGTGCACCCCACCCACCCCTCCCAACTCTCCAGTACACTTCAATGATACTGGTCACCTTTGATCAAGCAATGAATTTGATTTGAATTGCTGCAGACAGCTTGCAAAGAGTTGCCATATATCAGCACCATCTTGAATCCAATTACAGTGTAACGTGCAGTGGTTCCCAAAGCATTAGTTCCTTCAAGTACCACGGGCTCACAAACCTTAAAATCTAAATCAGTTAGAGAACTTCTACTAAAGAACAAAAAGAAATGAGGGCAGAATAGTTCATTTGGACCCTCAAGCTTACTTCCCCCTTCAACGAGATCATGACTGATTATCAACCTCAACTACACTCCACAACCAACCCCTCATATCCTGAGGGATTTGCGCAGAGAATAAAATCAACTCCAGCCTTGAATATATTCATGAACTGCGCATCCACAACATTCTGACATAAACAAACCCAAATGATGCACAAACTCAGCGAAGAACTATTTTCTTTTCTCAATTCTCCAAGGCCAATCTCTTATCCTGAGCTAATGATCTTATTTCTAGGTCTGCCAGCCAAGATAGACAGCCTTCAGCCCCTTCAAAATGGTCAACGTTTCAGCAAGATCACCCGACCCTAAACAACAGGGAGACAATCTTTCCACGTAGGTGGAAACTCATTTAGGAATTGAGTGCTACAAATCTGGAATGCATTATTTGGAAAAAAGTGCTGGAAGCAGATTCAACTCTGACTTTCATAAAATGGAAAGCTGTATCTATGCCTTTAAACAGAAAATTTTGTGGCTGTGAAAGCAATATAATTAGAAAAATATAGTTGATTGCGAGCAGCTCCGTCTGATTAGCAAAGTGCAGGTTGTACTCGAGTCTAAAATAGCAAGTCAAATTATGTTGGTGCAATTCCTATGATTAAAATCTCTTTCTTTAATAATCTTTGCTCCAGTTTAGTTTTCAATGTAACAACTTGCCATTCAAACAATCTGAAGTTTATTTGAATCTCTTACAACCATTCTGATCTGAAATCAGCCACTTTCATTTCCTGCCTTTCATAGCTCAAAGTATAAATAGTAACCCTAGGTGAAGCAGGTTGCAAACCGAGGCATTGGATTCTCACCAGCTTTTCAAACTATTGAGAGATAAAAGTTCGACCATGTTTATTTATATTCAGATAACTGGCAGTAAATGTACTACATGATGTGTTGCTGTACAAGTCCATTTGACACTTCGTAAGTTCTCTAGTATTCAACTTGAGAGCTCAAAAATCAGAGGGCATAGGTTTAAGGCGAGTGTGGAAAGATTTAAAATGGACCTAAGGGGCAACTTTTTCCACACAGAGGGTGGTACATGTATGGAATGAGCTGTCAGAAAGAAATGTTGGAGGCCGGTGCAATAACAACATTTAAAAAGGCATCTGGATGGGTACATGAACAGTAACGGTTTAGAGGGATATGGGCCAAATGGGACTAGATTAATTTAGGATAACCGGTCAGCACGGGCAAGTTGGACTGAAGGGTCGGTTTCCATGCTGTACAGTTTTATGTCTCTATGATTAACTACATTCGACACATCCAATTTCACTGAACCAGGGGACTTTTAGATAACTATTTATAGAAAAAAAGATTAGCACTCTGCATTTGGCCTTGCGACCTCAGTGATGTGACCAGTAGTATATCTGGTCAGCATGACAAGTCTGCGGTACATCTCAACGACTTGAGCATTGCTGAAAGAGTTAGTTTTATGGTGTTACTTCTCACTCAGTATACGGTCTTCTTTTAAGAGATATGCTCATCATATCATCACTGCATCATAGAATGTAACTTGAAGAAATACAAGTCTCGGACTCCATCCTAACCAGGGTCACTTAAAGGAGGAGATGCTGATTGAAGCATGCTGCTGTTTGTAACCATATAGTTTAAC